GACCGCGTCTACCGCCGCGGCATCGAATTGCGCCACCGCGAGCACGACCACCACGACGACCACCAGCAAGATCTACGAGACGGACATTCTGTGACCGAGACGTCGATTCTCGATCGACTCGCCCGTCGAGCTGGTCCAACGGATCGTTCGAGTCGTGCTCGCGAGTTAACGACGTTTTATCGCGATAACGAACGCGTCGAAAGCTCCTTTCGGCCGTAGGAAGACGATCTTATCGGAAGGAATATATTTCACGGAGGTATTAGACTGGCAAAGCGGATCGCGCGAACGCGCGTCCCCGCGTTGGATGGAAAGTAGGGTACACAGCGTAGAGAACTTAGCGAGTCACGCGTAATTTATAATATCGATTATCATAATTAACGATATAGTATTAGAATAATCGTAACGGGAAGCGCAGTCTCTGTCGGAACGCGTTATCCGGATGCGTAAGAGAGAAGGGAAAAAGGATCTTACCCCTTCGACGATCTCGAGCGATCGTTTAAACTTCGAAGAATCGCGAGAAGAGAAACGGATACGTCGCGTTAGAGGTCGAACTGCTTTTGGAGATCGAGTTCCTGTCCGAAAGACGAAGCTTACACGAGCCGAATCGACTCCCGGAGAGGGCGAGAAGCGAGAATCCTCGCGTCGTCGAACTTTCGCGACGATTGTGCCAAACTAGAGAAGAGGAGGAAGGAGAAAGAAACCGCGACTCCTTGCGGCGCTACCTTCTCGCATTTTCGACTCGACGAATTCCATTTTTTACCCGCGAGCAAACGGACGCGACGGCATTGCCGAACAATCCTCTGCACCCGTATAAATACTCATTGTATCCGCTGAAAATGAGAAGAGAAAACTGATATACATATATATATATATAGGCGAGGAACGAGAGTTAGCTATCGTAAAGGAGCATTTAAACGAACCATAGGTAGACGAATGAATAAACGAGCGAGACGTCGTCTCGAGTACGCGCGCCGACGTCGCGAATCGATACGGTCAAAGATCCGGTCAAACCATCAATTATTCCGCTCGGTACTCTCTCCGTATTTTTCTTGTCAGCACCGCACCGGCGCGGAAAATTTGCGCGCGTTTCTTTGTAGGCAGCTTCGAACGAAGAGGGAGGGAAACGAGCGCGAGCGAAAATGCGAAGAAGGGCGCGCGAAAATCCCGAGAGAACCGATCGATCGATTTCTCGACGGACAGAGGCAAGATTAAAAGGAACATTGCTCAATATTTACCAATCGGAACGCGACGAGTACATATATCGCGAGGCGTGGGCGGCGTTCGAAAACCGATTCTCGTTCCGATTTTACGAATATTCGCGTCGGAACAATTACGCGAACTCCGCGAACGCCTCGTCGATGCAAAACCGTGAAACGTTCATTCCTAATTCGATTAGACGATCAATTAATTCGCTTGAATCGCGTCAGCCAAATTTCTGTCGCTTTCTCGCGAGACGCGTCGTCTCGCGGCGAACTCGTATCGTCGTCGTACGGAACGCGCGCAAAACTCGTTAACGGTTTACCACGGAGACTTACACGGGAAACGTTGGAAAATTAGGAAAAATCGAGCAACAGCTACAACGTGCTTCCTTCGATGCTCGAGAAGAATCCGAGGTACCTGCACGGATACGTACGTACGCGCGATGCGTATACGCGCGCCAGGCGTACGCGTGCGCGACCGCACATTCGCCACACGTCACTTATAATAATCTACACGCGCATACTTTGCTTCGCCGGGCCTAATAGCCGATAGATTCGAATCCGTGCTTCTCACATTTCTGTTCGTTTCCGTTGCTCGTATCGTTTGCCTCGTGATATGCATACTTTTCGCGGCGGTTTCCTTTTCTCGAGTCGAACGTCGTCTCGATAGCGAATTAGTCACGAGTTTCGTCTACCGTACGCGATCATCGTAATCGTGCCCTTATTTATTTTCTACGTACACCATCAAACGCATCTATATGGAAGTAATAATTAATATACGTATAAGGATAAGAGTAATGCGAATAAGATATGGATAATAACGATCGATCACACGGTATTCAGTTGCGAGCGTTCATCGAGAATTAAACGACGAACAGAAGAAAACTACGCGATCCCGACGAACGATCCCGCTCGTCGAACGGATCATCGAACCGCTGTATATCGTGTTTCGCGTACCACGGCAAGCTTAGGTACTTACACACTCACGCTCACATTCTCACACTCGCATTCACACTTACACGTACACGGGCAATCTACAGCCGCGTATCGTCGCATTTGTACAAAGCTGCTTCTTTCTATCCAAGCACCTACTTCGTTTCACGCTGATTCGATCGATCCCTTTCTCGTTCCTCGGTTTATATTTATCTACGACTGCCCGCTGTCCGCGTTTCTTTCGTCCGTTTTACCCATCCACCTATCCGCGAACACCTGTCTCGTCTCAGCCCTCGTTCCTTCGCCCTCTATCCTCGCTTCCCGAAGGGAACACCCTCGAATCCATTCACCTGTCCGTGCTACGACGAGCCGGAGCGATTACTCCTGCTCCCGAAAAAGTTGCGCGTCTATCGAGTTTGCGCGACGCAAAAGCGGGACCCGAATAAATTCTGTTTTCTCCGTCATGTTCGTTAGCCATAAAATGTTTTAATAATGTTTTCCGACGATCCTGTACGCCAAATCGAATTGACTTGTTACATTTGTAAATGTTTGTAAGTAACTATCACGTAATAAAATAATCGATTAATAACCATCGAAGTTGTAACGATTCATCGTCACGAATCATATATTTATTTGTTCGTAACAACATTTGTACCAAACGAGGAGGCAAAAAACAACTTCTCTCGACACGATTCACGTTTTCGGTTCATCCGTATTCTCGATCTGGCCGTGCGATTTCTTTATACCGTCTATCACTTTTTGTTTCTCTTCATACATTAACTCGTACTTGTCTAGAGCTTTCGTAATGCCGAATCGGTCTGCCGCATCCAATTCCGCGTAACGTCTAATGAGTTCTAAGTCGTTCCGCGTCGCTTCTTGGCCGGATCGTGCATCCGGATGAACGAGATGATACAGACGTATGAGTGCGGCGGCTTCCTCGATCTTCTCATTTTTTATCACGTCTTGCAACAGATCGTCGATTTTCTTTTCCCACGTTAGATAGAACGCCATCGGACCGAAATGTCGTGTCGAACGCAAAGCGTCAAATTTTTTCCATTGATTCACCGTAGAGTACACCGTTTGCGTGATCTTTTGATAATCTGAATCATCCGGTTCGAACTGTAAACACGCCCTATCCAAAATGAACACGAATTCCTCCCTCTCCAGCAGATCCTGCAAACAGATATTTCAATTTAACGCGCGCGCTTCTATCAAACTTTTACAAAATTAAACTTTCTTACTTTGAAATATGGATCAGAAAACATTTTCGGAGTATGAATTTCTCTATCTTTAATGGGAAAGTAGACTTGATTCATTCGATGCCTTTCTTTGGTATTCGCGTGTCTCAATATACCGCTAGGCTCCCGCACCACTATCAATCGGTGTCTGTTGGTGCCTCCGAACGATATGTCGGTAAATACGATATTCGTGTCGGAGAAACCTTGTATACCAAAATCTTTGGATAATACTTGATTCGCGTCTACTCTCGGTTTAACCACGGGTGGCATTTGTAATCGTCCCCTCGCTTTCTTCTCCATCGCCGCTTGTGCTGCTTTCAACTCTTCGTCCGTCATGAACCTACATTCTGGCGTGCTAAACCTTACTCCCTCTTTACGAGGCGCAAACACCTTTTCGTAATCTATGCGAGTCAATATTACCAATAAGTCTTGTATCCGTTCGTCGAAAAAGATTGGTGCAGGATCTCTTTCGTTCGCTGTGCACGAATCTGTAGCAAAACATAACCTCCTAGCAAACAGAGTACTTTAATACGTTCACGATGAAACCGTTGAACGATCGACTATTACGCTTACCCAATGTCGGAGCTGTCGAAGAAAACTGACGATTCCATACCAATCTCTTATAAAGTTGTCGTAACAACGAACTCGATCTACTGGACATCATGATGATCGGTGTATAATAACTTAACCTCAATTATAGCAGACGTCAACTTGCCATCATACGCTGCATCAACTTGTACCTTGTGCGCATGCGAACAATTCGATGTATACACCAATCATCATCTACAATCTCAAAATTAAATCCCGTTTTCAATGAAATCCCACAAATTGGTCGGACGTTCGTTTGAAAACGAGTTTGTGCACCATGCGTCTAGTTCCCGCGGTTTTTGTGCGCTTGTGGTTACGTGCTTTTCCTTAAAAAATCAACAGTTGTTGTCGAATTAATCGTATAAAATGGAATTCACGTTAGAGGATGCTCTTGAAAATCTAAAAGATACTCGAGCAGAACGACAGAAACAACTGGACGATTTAAAAGATTTGCTTTCGAACAACGAAGCAGTATCATTGGTCCATACTACCGGTCTCGAAGATATCAAAAATAAACAACATCAATTATATAATCATTTGCTACATCACGTATCTCTAGAAGAACCGAAGGATTATGCGATTCCGAAGACTCGTGATATACATGTCGAAGTTTTGGCAAACCTAGAAGCGGGAGTTCAAGATGCTCAAAAACTCTTAGACAAAATGAAAGCGCATCTTTCCGAAATCGAAGATGACATATCCTAGTTTGTAAAAAAACCAAATGCTTTCAAAACACTTCGTCGCGTCTCGCGATATAGTATCATTCGCTTATGTTTTTTACAGTTTGGAAAACAAAAAATTGGGTTTGGAGAAAATGAAAGATGCTTATTTAGGTGCAGCCAAAATGAAAGCCAAAACAACGTATGACAAAGAAAACGTTACGGCGAAACGTATTTTTAAGAGCGTAAGAAAAGATTTGGTACGACGAAAAAAAATATCGATTTACGAATGTTTTATCAAAACTGAATTAATCATAGTTATATTTCATTGTTTAGCACTCCTTGATAGAGTTTCTATTCCCAAAAGAACCGGAATTAAAAAATTATTTAGGAGTAAGTACCGCTCCGAAAATCATACAAAGTATTTCAGGCATAAAAATTATGCATATTAAATTTTTAGGATTTAGTACTGGGATATGTTAAAGGTGGCGATGATGTATACGTCGATGTTACATCCGAAGTTTTAGACTTTGTAAATTTCCTGATAGAAGCAGACATCGCAACGTATCATAGAAACGACAAAAGTAAAGTTAAGTTAACCGATATATTCTAGAATATGAATGCACAGTGTATGTATTTTACATTGTACACTCATATTTTCAACGATACTCGCGAAAACACTGATTAAAATAAAGTTTTACATTTAGTTATATCGGTTTGAGAAACGGTAAAATATTTTCCATAGCATCACCACATAAAGGGTGCTCTTTCTCTCAAGATTCTAACACCGTTTCGCTCCCATTCTTGCCGACCGATCCACAGTTCTTGAGCAGGTTCCAAACAGCTCAATATCGCGGCACCTTTCCACGCTGTCATGCCGGGATCCATTTCTTTAGGCTGAGTTATAATGTCGAGTTGTTCTATACCGTGCAAATAGAACGAACGTATTCAGAATCGAGTATCGTTCTTACAACGCGATCGTCGCGCAAACAAACATACCTGCTCGATACATATAAGGAATTTGAAGGGAGATTCGATTGTGCAACCACATCCCGATGCCTTGGAACTTCATGCCCGAACCAACTACGAGCACGCAACTGTACATCTTTCTTTTCAAATCTTCCGTAGCTGAAGAAAAAAATGCGTTCAAACTATTTATCTAACGCCTTACCACCAAGTCATTAAAATGTACATACGACAGCGATCGATGCTCTGAAGCACGGCATGATCGAGACCTAAAAGTTGTTGAGGTCCTACCACGAAATCACGCGGTGCATCTAAATCGCGATTAGATAGGGTAATCGGTGCCGAATCCACAGCATCTACGACCACTTCTTCTTCTCCTGGTGCCGTTGGCGCGGTTGCCTCCTCTGGCATTTCAGAAGTTTGTTCCAAATTCTCTTTCATGCCTCTTCTCTAAATTAACAGGAATCGATACTGACACAACTGTTAAAAGCCGACCTTCTGTTCTTTTACTTACACTCGTTTCCCGTAAATAGTTTTCATCGTGCGGATCTTCTGGATCTCCCGTCGATCTCTTTTGTATATGCACGTTATGCGTTCCAGTCACTTTGAACAACTCTGGTTGAAACAAACTCAAAGGCGCTACCAAACATTCGTCGCCTACTTGAAGAGTATACTTTTCTGTTTGTTGCTTCGGCTTTCTAACCACGAACGTTTTTTCTTGAGATCCGCACACGTTCAGATCAACGTGACAAAAGTCCTTTTTGAGTTGATTCAAAAGTAACGCGTCCAATTTGTTAGACGGATCGCATGATTTATACGGAAATGCACATTTCTGAAGTAACCAAAAGAACGTTTGCGTGATATCTCCTCCACCATAATCCATACGAACTCTTGTGTTCCTATGAGAAATTCCATCTTCCACGCAAGAAACCGACGTTTTTTGATCTCCCACGTCGACTACACACGCGTAACCCAGGCCCGCGCCAAACGTAGCTGCTACATGATCCTTCCAAGAAAAAAAAATTGATAAATCAATTAATACATTTTGCTTCAAGATAATACCAATACTAACTTGTAACAAAAAACATGCTCCAAATCCAATTTCGCAAAGCATCAGGGTTGTTAATTCCTTCAAATATTGTCTGTTGTATATATCCGGTATTATAAGAACAGCTCTGTAATGCTTCAAATCTCTCAAAGGAATGTCCATTTTATCTGTTAGAACATATTCCCAAATAGTTTTTAAGTCGGCCATAACGGATCGTAAGCTACCGCCGGGACCTGAATGAACATTCAGCTCTCCTCTCCTGTACGGAAAATGAACATTAAAGTTATCATCCGGATTCAATGATAGTATGTCGTCGCCGACCACGACATCCTTGTCTGTTTTTATCCATTCCACACTACAAGGAGATGATATTTCTGGATTTGATCTGCGATTAAATGCTGCTATTTGTTGTGGAGGGGTAGCATATCTTCTCCTTCCATCGGATTGAAGACAAGATTGCAATGTGTGAGATACTTGAAGACGCGATTCTTCCATTGCTTGTGTCAACTCCTTTGTCTACTGAAACCGATTGTAAATAAAGTACCTTTATGAAAACATTAATTAAAAGGAGGAAAGAAAAAAATTTACTCGTGGTACAGCAGGTGGTAACAAACTATCCTTGTATTCCAATCCTCCTGGTAACCGTCTCCTTGCAACTGCATTTAAGATGGTGCAAGGATTTAAATCGGATGCTCTTCCCATCCTGAGGTACATTGACCCAGGATGGATTATAATGATGGTTTGAGCTTGAATTTGCTAAAATTAGAAAAATGTTAAAATTTATTGCGTATTTGGCACATTGCATCGATCATACAGAATTTCAGATATTACCTCTGCACATGATTCTTGAAATACTGGCATAATTACACTGCTTTGAGAAATATTTTAACTTGAAAGGTTAAGTATTCGTTCCATCGATCAGACCTGCAATTGATGGACTAAATATATTTTATTGACCTGACAATGTTACTTGCCTCAATTTCATTTATTTCATATATAAACACTTACTACTTTGTCATATAGAAAAATAATATCTGTTATATCGAATATATGGAATTATTTATATAAAAATACTTGAAGAGTTTTTACTGCCTTATGTTACTATATTTCAAAAAACAAACTTATAAAATATAAATTTCATTCTGTTCATTCGTATTGATTTGTTTGGAAGTAAAACTTCATTTTCTCAGATGTAATTTTCGAACACCTCGGTGACAGATGGCACTGGATCTAGCATTGTTAGCACCTGAACATGTGTGTATAACCTGTCAGCACGTGTAAGGACCACGTAGTGGAGTACATACAATAGATTTGTGATGGAAGAACACGAAAGGGCTTAAAAAATATATATATTTTAAGTATATCGAAGATTAAAGAAAATACGGTAGATTTTATTATATCACAATGAGCACAATATTGGAAAAGATTGCTTCGATCGAAGCCGAGGTAACCTCTTTTTCTGTTCTTGGCTTCTCTAATTTTATGAACAAGTTATTAAAAGATGAATTTTTTTAACAGATGGCTCGTACTCAAAAAAATAAAGCCACCTCAGGTCATTTAGGTTTACTAAAAGCTAAATTGGCCAAATTGAGACGAGAACTTATTACACCTAAAGGTGGTGGAGGTGGTGGTGAACAGGGTTTCGAAGTAGCCAAAACTGGTGATGCCAGAATAGGTTTTGTCGGTAGGTATCGAAATATAACGTTGAAAATATGTTTTTTTGGAGTATACATTTATTTTAATTCATTACAACTCATAGGTTTTCCTTCTGTGGGTAAATCTACATTGTTGAGTACGCTTGCTGGTGTATATTCTGAAGTGGCTGCTTACGAATTCACAACTCTTACAACTGTACCAGGTTGTATAAAATACAAAGGGGCAAAGATACAGGTTTTCATATCTGCTTAAATTCAGATAATGTGATAAAAGAATATATTATGTTTCTATCTTAGTAATCACCTTTATGTATATTATAGTTACTTGACCTTCCTGGTATTATCGAAGGTGCAAAAGATGGTAAAGGTCGCGGAAGACAAGTTATTGCAGTTGCTAGAACTTGTAGCTTAATTTTCATTGTTTTGGATGTACTGAAACCACTTGGACACAAGAGATTAATTGAACACGAATTGGAAGGTTTCGGATTGCGATTAAATAAACAGCCGCCGAATATTACTTTCCGTAAAAAAGATAAAGGAGGCATAAATTTCCAGACTACGGTAATTAATGATAAGAAGAAATAAAACGGAAAATTGTACTTGACTCCGTTCGTTTAACAATGTTTTTTACGTTATTTTCAGTGCGCACAATCGGAGCTTGACTTAGAAACAGTGAAGAGCATTTTGTCAGAGTACAGAATTCATAATGCCGACATCACTTTGCGATACGACGCTACTTCCGACGATTTAATCGATGTCATTGAAGGCAATCGCGTCTACGTACCGTGTATTTATTTACTCAACAAAATAGGTAATCTCGACGATTTTGCAATGATATTTTTGACCAACGATTCATTACACTAATTCGATTTTATTTTCAGATCAAATCAGTATCGAGGAGCTCGATATTATTTATAAAATACCGCACTGTGTACCTATTTCTGCTCATCATAAATGGAACTTTGACGATTTGCTTGAAAAAATGTGGGAATACTTGCAGTTGGTTAGAATGTAAGTTGCATGATCGAAAACTGATTTAAATTGCTAACAAATTGTTAGTAATTAATTCATTACGTGGTTTAGTTACACCAAACCTAAAGGCCAACTTCCGGATTATAATTCTCCGGTGGTGCTAAATCGCGAAAGGAGAACCGTGGAAGATTTTTGTAACAAACTTCATCGATCTATCGCGAAGGAATTCAAATAGTAAGTCACGGCTTTTACGGCATCTGTGACTATATCTGTTTCTGATTTGTTAAACTTCTATGTACTTTGTTTTTTTTACAGTGCTCTTGTGTGGGGATCGTCGGTGAAACACCAGCCTCAGAAGGTAGGAAAAGATCACGTATTGTGCGACGAGGATGTTGTACAGATCGTGAAGAAGGTTTAATTTCATTAAAATTGCGGTACATAATCGTATTTTTAAATAGATGTATTTTCGCTTCTTACAAGATCATGTAATACTTTTATTTCGATGTAATATAAGGTATGGTGAAATTTAGAAAATGGACGTGTAAAAAGAAAGAAAAGTAATCACTTTGCCGTGTATTCGAGAAATATATGTTAGAAATCGTTGGAGATTAGTTTTTTTACCGAATAAATGTGCACAATACTATTAGATTGTACGTAATTTTTTCATTTTGTAAATGCAAATACTACAATGCAAGATATTCGTGCATAGAGGAAATACTCGTATTTCATACACTTTTTAGAATATATTCTCTCCGTTGTTGGTCCAACAATTTCTCTAAATGTTCGCATCGTAGTTTTGCATCGTTGAGCTCTTTGGTCAAATTTTTAATCGTTAAGACCTTTTGAGTCATTATTAATTTAATTCTAAAACAAAAAGATTATAAAATTAAACTGTCCATAATATAAAGAATATTATTAAGAGCGAAGATGTTATACCTGCTGTGTAACTGAGCCATCGAGGCATCTCTGTTTGCACCGATACGAGTTATTTCTTGATAAAGCGATGCGATTTTCTCTTCTAGCTCTCTCTTCTCTCCTTCAATTTCTTGCCTAGCTAATTTTTTCGCGTGATCCTTTTCTACGTTCAGCTGCTTTATTACCTAAACATACAGGATTATTCGTCCCGTGGATTCAACTTAAAATTTAAAAAAAATCTTACTTCGTTCGCGGCATTCAACTCGAATACGTATTGCTCTATCTTGCTCTCCGCTTGTTGCAGTTGAATTTCGACTTTGTCGAGTTTGTCTTTCGTCAGCGTTAACTTGTCCTTGCATAATCGTTCGCCGTCGATCGCAGTTTGCAAATTCGTTTCGTATTTATCCCTCAGACATCTAAAAGCGATAGAATTTCAAAAACTGGGGTAATTTGACGGTCAGTTAAGTGTACGCTACCTAAGTTTAGAATCGAAATTGTGTTGAAGAGTCAATTTGGCGTTTCGCGAATCTTTTTCCAAGCGTTCAATGGCAAGCTCGATTTGACGATCTCTCTCCTTATTACACTCGTCCCTTATTTTACTTTCGGTTTGCTCGATCCTTAGATTCTGTTGCCTCTTGTAATCCGCGAGCCAAGCCTGCCATTCCGTCTTCAACGACTCTTGAAGAATTTGTTTCTCGTTCGAGAGCCGCTCCTCGACAGCCTTTGTTTCTTGCTAAAAAATCGCCAGCCTCTTACAAGATCGATCGATTTAAGGACATTGTCAATGGAAGGTTGGAACGTTTATACTACTTGGTGTCGAAGTTGCATCCGCTGCAAAGCCGCTTCCTTTTCAACCTCGCATTTCGCTCGTTCATCGCTAAACTTTTCTTTCTCGAGCTGCAGTTCTTCCAACAGTTTCGTGCGTTGCAACTTAAATCGATTCTCCTGCTCTTCCAGCTGCTCCTTGTATCTGAATAAGCGCGAGAAACAATTTGATACCGCTGTCACGCGATAGAAATCGAAGTTCGTTTTCTACCTAGTCCATAAGATACTTTTCTCGTTGCTCAAGGTCTTTTCGTAGGTAGCGGTCAGTTCGGAACGTAGGTGTTCCAGTTGCTGATTCGATCGACATATGGTCTGCAGTTCGAGGTCTCGTAGCTCCTTCGCGTGCGCGTTCTTCAGCTTCTGAATTTCCTCCGCGTGTTGGTTCATCACGTTGCGCAACTCGGCTTCCAAACCCTTCACCGTCATCTCCTTGAATCGTTACGCTATTTAGAATTGCCTGTTAGAGAGGATCAACAAGCTTCGAACGAAAAGAAAAGAACCTTGATCTTCGTCGTTCTAGCCTCTATCCACCGTTCCCGTTTGATCTTCTCGGCCGCTGCATAACGTTCCTTCGCTTTCTGCAATTCCACCGCGTGTCTATCGGCCGCAGCCTTCAGATCACGATGGGTCTTAGCCTCGATCTCCTTGATTCGTTGCGCCAGCGTGTTGCACTTTTCGGTCAAGTCACTCTTCTCCGAGATCAGTTGTTCGATAAACTTCTGATGCCTCTTTACGATTCCCTTATATTTCTCCTCCTGCTGCTGCAACTTGGTCGCGCTGCTCCTTCTTTGGCCATCCAACTTCTCGCAGGCTAGCTTTCGTTCCGATCTCAGTTGTTCCTTCAATAACGATATAGTGGCGTTTTTCTCCTCGAGTTGCAATCGCGCAGTGGCTAGATCCTCCTCGAACGCGTAAGGAACACCTGCGTTTGCGTTAGGCGTCTCCAGACTGCAACAAGCGACATTATGACCTCGTTATCCAACGCACGATGGTACGAAGACTCTTACCCGTCGTAACTGAGGCACGTCAAAGGCTGCGGGTCTCCGAGCACCTCCCGGAGCATCGTCGCGTTCACTTCGGGCACATCGGCTTTCGTTTGGTCTACAGAACCTGTCGAGTAAAAAACAACTTGTAACGAGAAAAGCTTGCGACAATATTTGTCATGTACGAAGAACAAAATTACTGAGAGGTACCATCCTCTTCGAGCTTCGTCAAGAACGACATTATATCGTCGTAAGTTGTTCCGTTTGCGACACGCTTCTCATCGGAGTCGTCCTTTTCCGCTTCTAGCTGTAAGATTAAAAAGTATGACTATGAAACGGACGCGATCGAGCGAAGTTATGTTACCTGAAGACGATGATCGACGTCCGGGAACTCGTCGACGATGTTCTTTTCCAGATCGTTGATCATGTTGCAGAGCTGTTCGAACGAGCACGAGGTGGAATCTACGAAATTCTGATTGCAGTCTGCTTTTTCCGCTTGAATCGTATCTTTGTCGATTTGTTTAAGTTTAAATCCCGCATCTTGCACCACGTTGGATCCACTTGGAGGTGGCTTGCCGCGTGCTTGTGGGTGTTTAATATTAATCATGAACGAACGAGAAAGGGGCACGACGCCGTAAGCGAAGAGGATTGTGCTGAAACTTTCATAGTTTTTCGCTCGTTATGTTTCGACGCATTTACGGTCTCCAGGACAACACCAAGGTAACGTATTTACAAAATAAGCAACGATGCTCCATCGTGAGTAATAAACACGACTAAAAACGACAAGGCAACACGGTTCCAGAGCTGTAATTAACATCGTTCTAACGTTATACGTACATATACAACATCATTTTTAATAATTTATGTTTTTTTTTTAATATTTTTAAAGTACTTCGATAGCTGTGGCCTCGCATGGTCTTCAAAGTTCGAATTTACGCGCGCTTGTTTCGAAAATGGTACCGCTAATGTCACTAGCGCTGGAGCTCGAAAAGAAAAATGCGATTTTTGTGGAAATTAAGGATTTTTTCGAAGTTTCGCCACGTGTGAAATGTTTTTTTTGTGGCTAGGGAACAATAATAATACGATTTTGAGCTGCTGAATGCATTAATAAAGAAAATAAAAAAAATAGCCGATTCATGGACCAAAAAATTGCCAGCCACCTAGCGGTGAAAGTTGGAACTAACGAAATAGAAAATTGCGATTTTCTCGAAAACTAGGCACTTTTTCGAAATTCTGACAAGTACAAAATGCTTGTAATTCCTCGAGGAACCCATATAAATCGATTTTAAGTCGCTGAGAGCGTTAATAAAGAAGTTTTAAAAAATAGCATTTTATGGACCTCAAAAATGGTAGCCACCTAGCGGTGAAAGTTGGAACTAACGAAACAGAAAATTGCGATTTTCTCCAAAACTAGGCACTTTTTCGAAATTCTGACAAGTACAAAATGCTTGTAATTCCTCGAGGAACCCATATAAATCGATTTTAAGTCGCTGAGAGCGTTAATAAAGAAGTTTTAAAAAATAGCATTTTATGGACCTCAAAAATGGTAGCCACCTAGCGGTGAAAGTTGGAACTAACGAAATAGAAAATTGCGATTTTCTCGAAAACTAGGCACTTTTTCGAAATTCTGGAAAGTACAAAATGCTTCTAATTCCTCGAGGAACAATTCTAAATCGATTTTAAGTCGCTGGAAGCCTTAATAAAGAAAATGAAAAAAATAGCATTTTATGGACCTAAAAAACCTCAGCCATCTAGCGGTGAGAAGTGGAACTAATCGAACAAAATTTGAAATAGGATAGCTTTATAAAACATGAAATTCTTCAACTAAATAGACATTATACGACTAAATGAAACATTCAGAACGCATTACAAATGTCCTGCAAGCGTTATAAGAGCGAGAAATTGATTTTTTTTGCAAAAATTGTACTCGATATTTAGTTCCAATTAGTTCCGCCGTTCACCGCTAGATGGCTGAGGTTTTTTAGGTCCATAAAATGCTATTTTTTTCATTTTCTTTATTAAGGCTTCCAGCGACTTAAAATCGATTTAGAATTGTTCCTCGAGGAATTAGAAGCATTTTGTACTTTCCAGAATTTCGAAAAAGTGCCTAGGTGCTTAGTTTTCGAGAAAATCGCAATTTTATATTTCGTTAGTTCCAACTTTCACCGCTAGGTGGCTACCATTTTTGAGGTCCATAAAACGCTATTTTTTAAAACTTCTTTATTACGGCTTCCAGCGACTTAAAATCGATTTGTATGGGTTCCTTGAGGAATTACAAGCATTTTGTACTTGTTAGAATTTCGAAAAAATGCCTAGTTTTCGAGAAAATCGCAATTTTATATTTCGTTAGTTCCAACTTTCACCGCTAGGTGGCTACCATTTTTGAGGTCCATAAAAAAAACGCTATTTTTTTCATTTTCTTTATTAAGGCTTCCAGCGACTTAAAATCGATTTATATGGATTCCTTGAGGAATTACAAGCATTTTGTACTTGTTAGAATTTCGAGAAAATGCCTAGTTTTCGAGAAAATCGCAATTTTCTATTTCGTTAGTTCCAACTTTCGCCGCTAGGTGGCTGGCAATTTTTTGGTCCATGAATTGGCTATTTTTTTTATTTTCTTTATTAATGCATTCAGCGACCTAAAATCGTATTATTATTGTTCCTTACGCATAGCAGAGCATTTCACATATCGCAGATATCTGGGAAAGTCTCTAATTTTTGAGAAAAATGCATTTTTCTTTTCGGGTAGTTTAGATCGCTTTAGCGGTACGATTGCCGGAAAAGCGCGCGCGAATTTGAATTTGAAAAAGCGTACGTAAGAACGAGGCGTTTGAAACGCTTCCAAATCATCGATATATTTTATTTCCACATTAAAGACACGACATTTAACAGATTAACGATACTTTGAAGCTACGTTTCTGTATATTTAACGTCGTTGAAGTTATCGCGGCTTAATCGGTCGTAGGTAGAGTATTATTTTTGACGATACAAGTATGCGGCGGACTGATTTCTGCTTCGTTATCGCTGTAGCGTGTTTGAAAGTATAAAATTACATCGTTCAAGATCGGTATGCGCTCGTTAATATTTAGTCGCTTGTCGAGAGGAGGTCCAGCAGCAGTCCTGGACGCGCTCGGCGGCGAATCGAACGCGCTTCGGAGGGTGGGTTTGGTCGGAAGGGAAGAAGAATCGACGGAGCAGGGGTAAATCAGATCGGTGGCTTTACCGAGGAGGGTCGCTAGAGGGTCTTGAGCAAAGGGTTCGGTGTCGGGTTGCGGGCAGCACCGTCTGGGAGGAAGTCGGGAACTCTGGAAGCGGATAACCAGTGCGAAGATCGTGGCCCGTACGAGGAGGCAGTGGTCGTCAGTCGGAAGAGAGAGACGCGCGTGGGGCGAGGTTGTTGCGG